GTACATGAAACGTGTATCTTGCGAAGCCCCTCCTGTCCATCCACCGCTCAGTAGTGGGGCTCCGCACTGTCGTAGTGAACCATAGGGAGTGCCTTATAGGAATCTACCTCGGCTTGGGGCTACAGAGAGATGTGGTTAAATACAAAGTGTCCACCTTCCTACCACCAATTGGTTTTAGGAAGCATTTGGCACCTCTTTAACTTTAGAACTCTGTAGTTAAGCGTGCTGGAACGGGAGTAGTCCCAGGATGGGTGACCCACTGGAAGTTCCAGAAAACGATCCTACAGTCGCCGGCGGCGGTGGAGACTCTGGAGGTAGAGGGTCGTGCACAGGGCCGGACGGAGAGATCGAAAAGGGAGGCAGATGGGTAGGTTTTGAGATGGATCGTAATTGATGAGAAGACGTCAGAAGCTGTAAGTTTATGTCTGCTTGAGGAAGATGTTTGGAAGACGTTTTTAAGTGATTTGTTTTCCAAAAAAACAAACACTCTGCGTGTTCCTAATGTATGCCCGCGTCTGCACGGGGCTAATGTCTGCCCGCGTCTCAACAGGGTAGACATTAGTGGTTAGAAGCTCTTCTCACCAAAAAAAACACCCCCTAAATTTCTTCCTTACTTGATTGATTGGAAATCTACACCCCAAGTTTAATGGAAAAAATCATCCAAGTTTGAGCCCCATCAGAGGAAGAAATATTAACTCATTATACGTCGTTAGATGAAGAACAATCGAGCTAATAGCAGTAAAAAATATTACTCCCTCTTTCCCTCTTCATATATTTTGGTATACGTTTTTACCCTTATCTCCGAAAAAATTGGGTTGATTCTATACCATGATTTAAAAAAAAAACTATGCCATTAAAAATAACGCATGTCGACTGGACTTTTACTGCTGACTGCCTCCGTTAACCGCCGCCTGCTGGCGCAACCTGTTGCCGGTTGCCACTGACCGGTGGTTAACTAGTGTTGCTAATTTATTTTTAATTAAATTTTTTAGTTTGGAATGTTTAAAAAAGGTGAGTTTTAGTGTTCAAATAGGTGATCTTTGCTTTAATTTCAGATGGGATTTGCATAGGCAATTGGTGAGCTTTGTAGTTGGCAGTGGTGAGCTTTATGTCATCTGATTGGAGTCGATCAGACACACATGCGTGCGTGCACACAGTGACACACACAAGAATTTGTCATTTCTGCAACAAGAAAATTCCGTCGCAGATATTTCAAATCCGTAGTAGAATCCATATTAGCGATGACTTTGCAACCAAAGACGTCCGTCGCAAATTTGTCATCGCCCGGCCAAAATCTGCGACGGAAACGTAGTGTCGTGACAGATGTAGCGACGGACGCTGCGACGGAAAACGGATTGGTAAAATTGTGAAAAACTGTGATGCTCTGCGACGGAGAGAAATTCCGTCGCATATCTGCAAAGGAAATTGCGACAACAGCTTCGCAATGCATAGCAGGTAAAATCTGGGACGGAAATGGTGTCCGTCGATGTGCCGTCGTAGATATCTGATTTTAAACAACTAGAAGCTCATTTGTTGCCAGGACAATAGCTTTTGAAAAATAGATATGGTTAAATACCATTCACAGGGGAAGAGAGTTCATACGGGGTAGAACAACAAAGAACACATCCTCAATAAAACCATCGTAAAGTAGAACAAATACAAATATTTAAGTTAATGTCATTCATGCATAAAATCCATTAAAGTCAATGTTTTGGTATTCAAACATTCTAACAAACAGCCTCTGCTTGCCCTGACCCCCCGCTCCGTCATCGTCTCGAGGAGGGTTGTTATTACCATGCAACTTTTTTAGATCTTCTTGGATTGTTGTGAACTTCGAGGCTAGCACTTCAAATTGTTCTTGCGGACGTCTGTTCTATTCTTTCAGGGTCTCCATTTCACTTTTCTTGGTCGCAGAAGAGCTAGAGCGGCGATGAGTGGATGAGGACTTCAACTTTCTCATCCTACGCTTGTAGTCACCGACTCCTGGCACGCGATTCCTCATATTGTTGCCCTAGACTAGTGAGTACCAAATTTCGTCATCGGTGACATCAAGTCCATTCTTTATAGCCTCATTGCGAAGAGTATTAAATCGAGCCTACAAAAACACAACAAGGTCACCCAATTAGTTATATAATAACACCACAAACAACAACAATATGAACGAAAACAATAATTACACTACAACACAAACACCAAGAATAATATTAACAATTTATTCCTCAACAACTTTACCCAAGAGCTACATACTAGCAACATCAAGAACAATATGTCAAGAATTGTGATTTTCCTTGAATAATAAAGTGGGAGTACATGGGTTTATATATACAACCTTTTCCTAATCCTAATCATGGTAGGATTCTACAATAGGAAACAATATTTGTACAATTAATATAGAATATATATTTAACATAAATATAGAATATATTTAACATGCTCCTGGCTACGTCGGCGTCAGAGGTGGGCGAATCCCGAGGCTAGTCCGAAAATCTTGAAATAATATGGACGGGAGGCCTTTTGTGAATATGTCGGCGTACTGTGACGAGGATGGCATATGAAGGACTCTAATCTGGCCGAGGGCCACCTTGTCACGAACAAAGTGAATGTCAACTTCAATATGCTTAGTGCGCTGATGCTGAACCGGATTGGTGGAGAGGTAAACGGCACTGACGTTGTCACAGAAGATGAGTGTGGCGCGGCGTAAGGGCTATTGTACCTCTAGGAGGAGATTTCGAATCCAGCTGGTTTCGGCAACGGCATTCGCAACGGCTCGGTATTCAGCTTCAGCACTAGATCGGGAAATGGTAGCCTGGCGTTTGGAGGACCAAGAGATGAGGTTGTCCCCAAGGAATACACAGTAGCCTGATGTGGATCGCCTAGTGTCAGGGCACCCAGCCAAATCAGCATCAGAATAGGCCTGGAGAGAATCTGTGCCAGAGGAAGACAGAGTTATACCGTAAGTGGAGGTGCCACGGAGATAGCGTAGGACACGCTTCATGGCCGTGACGTGGGCATCCCGGGGGGGTGTAGATGGAGACAAAGCTGCTGAACTGAGTAGGAGATGTCTGGCCTGGTGAATGTGAGATACTGGAGTGCTCCAACTATGGAGCGATATAGAGCTGGGTCGGCCGCCAACGAGCCTGATGTGCTGGACAGTTTGGCCTTCGTATCGACTGGAGTGGAGATGGGACGACAAGTGGTCCTGCCGGCACGCTCTAGGATGTCGTGCGTGAACTGTGTCTGGTGTAAAAAGAGACCACGAGCTGTCCGATGAACATTGATGCCCAAGAAAAAATGAAGGTCGCCCATGTCAGTCATAGCAAATTCCCCCTTAAGTCGCTCAGTCAGGCGCTTAAGGAGAGAGTCAGAGGAAGCTGTGAGGACGATGTCATCAACATAAAGGAGTAGGTAGGCAATGTCTGTCCCGTGAGAGTAGATGAAGAGAGAGGTGTCCGACTTACATCCTCGAAAACCCAGCGTGTAGAGAAACCCAACAAATCGTTGGTACCACGAACGAGGAGCCTGTTTCAAGCCATAGAGTGCCTTTTTCAGCCTGCATACATAGTTGGGCCTGTGGGGATCCTGGAATCCTGATGGCTGAGAGGCGTAGACTACCTCCTGCAGATGGCCATGGAGAAAGGCATTCTTGACGTCCAACTGATGGATCGGCCATCCTCGAGAGAGAGCAAGGCTGAGAATGATGCGTATAGTAGCTGGCTTGATCACAGGGCTAAATGTCTCATCATAGTCGACTCCGAATCTCTGGTTGAAGCCACGAACAACCCATCGAGCTTTGTACCTGGTTAACTCACCTGTAGGGCCAAGTTTGTGCCTAAAAAGCCATTTTCCGGTTATGATATTTTGGTGGGGGGAAGGGGGTACTAATTCCCATGTATCGTTCTTGATCAATGCATTAAATTCTTCACACATAGCATTGTGCCAATTGGGATCTTTGAGAGCACTACGGTAGGTGAGAGGCAGGGGGGAAATGGGTACAGTGGTGTTGAGGTTGAGAATATGTTTGGGACAGGTTATGCCAGTTTTGGAACGCGTGACCATGGGATGTTGGTTTGTGGTGATAGGGGGAGGTGGGG